CCCCTTCTCCTTCTCCTTCTCCGTCCCATGCCCCCCTCTCTCTCCCCCAGTCTGACCTGGAGGAGTCCAAGGGCCAGGAGGTGTCGAAGCTGCAGCAGGAGGTAGACCGCCTCACTACAGAGCTGCAAGCAGCCAAGGACGAGATACAGTCCCTGCAGCAGCAGCTGGCAGCTGGCGGGGGTGGGGGTGGGGGGGCAGAGAGCAACGAGCCTGTGATCAAGACGGTTGTTAGGGAGGTGGTGAAGGTGGTTGAAGTGCCTGTGCCAGCGGCAGCGGTCGGGGCAACAGCCTCAGGGACTGAGAAGCTGGAGGGTCGTGAGGCTGCTGCTGCTTGCTGTTGCAGCCGCCGCCCTGCTGCTGCTGCTGCAGCGACGACAACTGCATCTGCAGTAGAAGGCAATCTGCTGCCGCTGCTGCCGGTGCCAGTGCCGGTGCTGGCGCAGTGGTTGTGGTGGCAGGCACAGGGGAGGCGGGCAGGACGGCAGAGGGGCTTGAGAACGAGAAGCTCAAGGCGGCACTAGACGTGTCGGACTCGCGCGTTGCAGCCATGGAGGAGATGATAGTGCACAAGGACGAGAAGCTGCAGGAGCTCGAATCCGAAACTGGCAAAGATGAAGGGCGAGCTGCAGCGCCTGGAGGACCAGTTCAGGAGCATGGACCGCGAGAACCAGGTGCTCCGGCGCCAGTCGCTGTCTGTGGCCACGGCAGCGCAGACCACGCCGCAGCGCGCTCCTGCTGCTGGGCGGCTGTCGGCGCTGTGGGGGGTTCGGCTGTGACCCCGTCCACGCCCAGTGGTGCTGGGTATGAGATGACGCCCGGCACGCCTGGCAGCGCTGCTGCTGCTGCTGCTGCTGCGGCTGCTCGTGGGGCCACGCAGGAGGCGGAGGTGAAGAGGCAGCAGATCCTGGCTGAGAGGCAGCAGGTGAGCTGGGGGGGATTAGACGAGGTGTTTTGGTGGTGCCTGTTTAGTAGAGGGACTTTGCATGCTCGTGCTCTTTATTCTGATGCTGTGCTCAGCTTTCTGTTTGCTGTGCCCTGTTTCTTTTGTGTTTATCTTCCATCTCCTTCCTCCTGTCTCTGCCACCCCTCTCTGTCCCGCACCCCTGCGCCTCTGCTCCCCCCTGTGTGCTCCCCGCAGGCGGATCAGGACACGGTGCTGCAGCTGCTGCTCACCGACCTGGCGTTTGACAACAACCGCCCCGTGGCGGCATGCATGCTGTACCGCGCGCTCGTGCACTGGCGCTCCTTCGACGCCGAGCAGACCAACGTGTTTGACAAGATCATCCAGACCATGAGCTCCGCCATTGAGAACCACGACCCCGCTCCTGCTGCTGGTGGTGCTGCGGGTGCTGTTGTGCCACTGCCAGCGGCCGCGGGGAGTGGAGGGGCAGCGGGGGGTGCGGCGGGGAATGCTGCGAGGCTGGCGTACTGGCTGTCGACTGCGTCGTCGCTGCTGCACCTGCTGCACCGGTCGTTCCGGCCGGGGGCCGCGTCCGCGCTGCAGATGCACGCGCAGCGCAGGAGGCAGCAGCCTGTGTCCCTGTTCAGCCGCATGTCTCAGGTGCGCTTGAGAGGGTATGGGGATTGGGCGATGGCAATTTGGTGAGAGGGTGGGGAAGGGGGGGGTGGGGGGTGGAGATGAGGGGGGATGAGGGGGCGTGAGGGGGGATGAAGGGGGAACGATGGGGGATAAGTAGAGGGGAGAGGAGGAAGTGGGGGTGCAGTGAGGGATGGCTTTGGGTTGAATCCAGTTTGTTATCGACTTGTAGGATTACATACGCCTAACCCACTGTCCTTGATCTACGTGTCTTCTCTCCTTCCACCATCCCATCGTCTGCCTCTCGTCGCCTAGTCCACCTTCCTCTCTAATCCTTCACTTCCGCTCTTATGGTCCATTCCCCATGCCCACACAGCCCCCCGCCCCCCTGCTCTTCCCTGCAGGCACTCTGGGCCAGTGACGCCGTCGCAGTTAGAGATGACAGCAGCAGTTGATTGTCAAGTCGACTAAAAAACCTTTCCCCATGCCCGCACATCCCCGCTTCCCCCCCTTCTTCCCTGCAGACGTTCCGTGGGCCGGTGACGTTGTCACCGGACGAGACGAGCGCAGCGGAGGCGGACGGGCTGCACCTGGTGGACCCCAAGTTCCCCGCGTTGCTGTTCAAGCAGCAGCTCACGGCGTACGTGGAGAAGGTGTACTCGTGCATCCGCGACAACCTCAAGAAGGACATCTCGCAGATGCTTGTCGCATGCATCCAGGTACGAGTGTGTGTGTGTACGAGTGTGTGTGGGGGGGGTGGATGTTTTGAGGCGTCTCAAAGGAACGTGTACTCGTGCATCTGCAGCGACCTCAAGAAGGACATCTCGCAGATGCTTGTCGCCTGCATCCAGGTGCGTACGGGTGTGTGGGAAGGAGGGGGGAGGGGGAGGGGGGAGATGACTTCCTGTGAAGCCTCTGGGGAAACCAAGCGTGTGCAGATTGCATGTGTGCATTTCCCCGTCTGTCTCCTGTATCTATGGCAGGCTTAAGGGTTTCACGGTTCTGCTCCCTTCAACCGTCTCCTGTCTTCCACTCCCTCCACAATCCATCCCCTCCTATCCTCTCCCCCTCCAGGCCTCTCGATCCTTCCGTACGCCCATGGCGCCACGGCAGCAGCACCGCTCGTCGCCTGACGGGGCGCGGGCGGCAGCAGCGCAGAGCCAGGCGGCGTCGGTGGCAGCGGCGGTGGCGCAGTGGGGTGGGATCATCGCACGGCTGACGGACCTTCTGAACACACTCAAGGCCAACCACGTGCCGGCCTTCCTCGTGCGCAGCCTCTTCTCGCAGATCTTTGCCTACATCAACGTGCAGCTCTTCAACAGGTGCGCGCGAGAGTGAGCGCATGTGTGAGGGAGGAAAGGGGCTTTCGTCAGTGTGAGGGAGAAAAAGGGGATGGGGGATGGAGGATGGGGAGTGGGGGCGGTGGGTATGGGTGTGGGTGTGCATGTGCTACCTAATATTGACAATTGTGTGTTCCCACCACCGAGGTGCTTTCTCTGCCTAATCGTCTTTGCACGTCAACCTCCCAAACCCCCCACTTTCCCCCCCACTTTTCCCCCATTCTGCTGCTGCGTCGTGAGTGCTGCTCGTTCAGCAATGGCGAGTACGTGAAGGAGGGAGCTGGGCCACTCAAAGCTACATTCGCTCATCACATATCCCATCTCCCCACCTCCCCTTGCCCCTCCCCCCCCCCACCTGCCAGTCTGCTGCTGCGTCGCGAGTGCTGCTCGTTCAGCAACGGCGAGTATGTGAAGGAGGGCCTGGCGGAGCTGGAGCGCTGGATCTTTGAGGCCACGGACGAGTATGCAGGCAGTGCGTGGGAGGAGCTCCGGTTCATTCGCCAGGCTGTCGGTTTCCTGGTAAGTGCCCCTTGCTGCTGCTGTGGAGTGTGCGGCACTTACTGCTGATGCTGTTGCTAATCTGACTGCTGCTTCTCAGCGCGTCGTGTTTCTTTTCCAGCCAGCCACACTTATCGCTCCATCCGTTCCCTTCTTCCGCTCTTGGATTTTATTCCCCCTCACCTTCTTCACCCTCCCCTCGTCGATTGTTTCCTGCGTGCAGGTGATCCATCAGAAGCCCAAGAAGTCCCTGGAGGACATCACCAACGACCTGTGCCCCGCGCTGAGCATGCAGCAGCTGTACCGCATCAGCACCATGTACCGCGACGACAAGTATGGTACCCATTCTGTGGCGCCCGCAGTCGTCAATGCAATGCGCCTGAAGAGCACAGAGGAGTCCGCTCAGAACGGCACCAACTCGTTCCTGCTGGACGACGACTCCTCGTGAGTGCCGCTGCTGCCGCCACTGCCGCTGCTGCTGCCATGGTTTTTTGTTGTTGTTGTTGTTGTTTTTGTTTTTTTGTTTTCCAAGCTGACTCGTTTTCCAATCTCTCGTTTTCCAAGCTGACTGTCTCCCCCCTCCACCCTGCCTCCAGTGTTTCCTGCTTCTGGCCTCTCATCATCCCCCACTCCCTCCCCCTCCCCCACCCCTCACCCCTCACCCCCATCCCAACCTCCCCCTTCTCTATCCCCACCCTGTCCCACCCAACCCGTTGGTTGCACATGGCAGTGTCCCATTTGCTGTGGATGACATATGCAAGGAGCTCCCCAGCATCTCCCTCACCCACCTCTCCCTGCCCCCCCACGTCCGCGACTCGGGTCACCTTCACTTCCTCTTCTCGTAGAACACTGCCTCCTCAGCAGCAGCAGCAGCAGCAGCAGCCAGTTCTTAGGTACGTTCGCAGGAGTAGCACCGACAGTGGGAGAGGGGTCCATTCTCTGGTAGTGTTTAGGAGACTTGTCAGCTGCTACGTGAGGCGGGAGTCTGCAGCATAATGCTATACATGTGCTTCTGTTTGGTGATTCGCTGTAGCAGATAGTGTAGGGCATGTGACAATGCATCTCATCAGGCAGCCAGAGTTGCATCATGGGCACGGCACGCACGGCATGGAGCAAGTAGCATGGCCGGCAGCATCAGGCACCTGAGGCCAGGACATTCACAAGAAGTTAAGATGGTTGGGCTGGTTGGGTTTCTACCTGAGACCTGATTGTTCTCACAGTTCTTTCAGGGTGGCAATGCTGCCGTCTGTTGCTTGGTTTCGTCGGGGTTTACATGGTGATACGCTAGGTAGACTGGGCTGATCTGGGTTGTCAGGTGTTATCGTGTACAAACCAAGCACAGGTGATAGAGATACAGTTGAGAGTCTTGATTGGTGTAATTGAGAAAGCTTGCTTGTTAGTGCAATTGACATCATTCTCATTTCACTGGGTGACAGCGCCGACGCAAGGATCTAGAATGTTGAGCAGGAGACAACGCCTGTACCTCACGGAAGGCCGACACTAGTTCGACGGCAGCGGGCGTTACGTACATCTCTTTCGCCTTGTCACTGCGCCATCTGCCAAGACATTTGAAAAGCCAGTTCGCTACGCCTCCATGGTGGTGACAGTAGCGGCACCTTTGCGGAACGAGTGGGTGCCGAGATGGTGTTCGCCGAGGCCAATGGTGTGAAATGCCTCCTTGCACCAGTTGCGCATTGTGGTGTATGATGGTGACGGTGCCACGTGATGCAGTCCTGAACACTCGGATTAAGGGTCTCGGGGTGCTGGGTTTGTAGCCCGCCAAACGGATGAAGCGCTTGGTGCACCACACAGGGCAAAGGGTCTCAGAGTAAGAAGTGTTGACTAGAATAAGAGCATACCAAGGTATATAGCTAATGGGTTGTACTCTCTATGGCAAGCTCCTATGTAGTCTACTAAACATACACAAATATGTTTGACAAACCCCCTAGACTAGATAGGGGCAGAGCCTGGTGAGAGACAAACAGCTCAGGGCGGCACTACCGTAAAAGCCCGGATATAAGACTCATGGGTCTTATCACATACGGCATAAAAAAAAAGGCAGGGTGTCTTATAAATGGAAGAAAGTAGGGTGTTGGTGTCAAACATGTTTAGTTATCATGCTTGTATAGACTGTATAGGGTCATCTTCTAGAGAGTACAACTGTTAGGTATATGTTTGTGTACTCTCTCTCTCTCAATCATTAATTTCACTGTTTGATATGGTATCACGCGTAGGTAGGATCCCCCCCCACCCCCCCCCTCACGCTTCCGCTCGCCCCCTGGCTGGGCCCCGTCGTGCTCCTAGCCCCGTCGCGACCCTCCCTCGCCCCGTCGCGACCCTCCCTAGCCCCGTTGCGCCCCTTCCTGGGCCCCGTTGCGCCCCTTTCTGGGCCCCGTAGCGCCCCTCCAGGGCCCCGTCGCGCTCCTCCCAGGCTTCGTAGCGCCCCTCCAGGCCCCGTCGCGCCCCTTCCAGGGCTTCGTAGTGCCCCTCCAGGCCCCGTCGCGCCCCTTCCAGGGCCTGGTAGCGCCCCTCCAGGGCCCCGTCGCGCTCCTCCCAGGCCCCGTAGCGCCCCTCCTGGGCCCCATTGCGCTCCTCCCAGGCCCCGTCGCGCCCCTCCCTAGCCCAGTCGCGCTCCTCCCAGGCCCCGGTAGCGCCCCTCCTGGGCCCCATTGCGCTCCCCCAGGCCCCGTCGCGCCCCTACCTGGGCTTGGTCGCGCCCCTCCAGGCCCCGTCGCGCCCCTCCCCAGCCCCGTCGCGCCCCTCCCAAGCCCCGTCGCGCCCCTCCAAGGCCCCCCCTCGCGCCCCTCCCAGGGCCCGTAGCGCCCCTCCTGGGCTCGTAGCGCCCCTCCTGGGCCCGTAGCGCCCCCTCCTCCTGGGCCCCGTCGAGCCCCTCCTGGGCCCCGTCGCCGCTGCCCGGCCCCTGTCGCCCTGCCCGGCCCCTGCTCGCCCGCCCGGCCCCGTCGCCCCTGCCCGGCCCTGCTGTGTCCTGCCCGGGCCCCGTCCCTGCCGCCCGACCTTGTCGCTGCCGCCCGGCCCCGTCGCCCCTGCCCGGCCCTGCTGTGTCCTGCCCGGCCCCGTCCCTGCCGCCCGGCCCCGTCGCAGCCGCCCGGCCCCGTCGCAGCCGCCCGGCCACGTCGCAGCCGCCCGGCCTTGTCGCTGCCGCCCGGCCCCGTCGCCGCCGCCCGGCCCCGTCGCAGCCGCCCGGCCCCGTCGCCGCCGCCCGGCCTTGTCGTGCCTGCCCGGCCCTGACGCGCCTGCCCCGGCCCTCCATACTTCCTGGTACTGTCCCCCGTTCCCCGCACCACTTTGCACCCTCCTTCACTTTCCTGCCCCGCCTTGCACCGCATTGCACCTCACTGGACCGCACCGCCCGCACTGCACCGCACTGGACCGTACTGCACCGCACTGCATCGCACTGCACCGCACTGCATTGCACTGCACTGTCCTCCACTGCCCCTCATGGCTGCTGAGCTTCGTTTTGATGCTGAGGGTCAGCCTCTGGAGTTCGAGGCGTGGTTGGCTGACCTTCGCCGCCACCTCACTGGCCAGCGGCAGGACGGCCACCCGCTTTCTGCACACCTAGACGGTATGCTCCCCTGCCCTGACCCCCCTGCTGTGCTGCCCGCTGATCCCACGCCCGCTGAGCGCGAGTCCACTGCCGCTGCTGCCCTTGCCCGCTCTGTCTGGCTTTCCCGCGATGCCCTTGCTCAGCTCGCCATTAGCAATGCCCTCCCCCCCCCTGAGCGCCCTCGCTTTAGAACCATTACTACCGCCCAGGCCTACCTTGATGCTGTCATCAAGCGCTATTCTACCCCTCCTGCTGCCTCAGTGGGTCGCCTGATCCTCCCCCTGCTCTTTCCTGACCTGGCGTCTTTCCCCACTGTCTCTGACCTCGCTGCCCACCTGCGCTCGATCGATGAGGCCTGGCGCGCTGCCTGCACTGATGCACAGCTTAGAGTCCACCAGCCTCCCATGACCTCCACCCTCTACCTCCTTGCCACCCGCCTCCCTGACCGCCTTGCCGCCGCCCGCGACCAGTTCCTTAGCATCCATCCTGCTGCTCTCACCCTCACCGACTTTGTTGACACCCTGACTGCCATAGAGACTCGTCACCGCTCCATAGCCCAGGCGAGCGGTACAGTACCGGTCCCTATCTTTCAGGGTTGTGCCCCCGCTCAGTGTACCTTCTCCGACGGCTCTGTCGCTGTGGCTGAGACTGCTGCTGCAGTGCAGTCCCGCTCGGCGAAGGGCCGCCGCCCCAAGGTTGGGAGCGGCGGAGGCGGCGGGGGTGCGGGTGGGGGTAGTGGTGGAGGCGGGTCGTCCGGTGCCGGTGCGGACGTGGGGACCCTGCCCGGTCCAGCTGCCCCGCTGCCTCCACCGTTGCAGCAGCAGCAGTCGCCGCAGCCGCAGCCTCCGCAGCAGCCGCAGCAGCCGCCGCAGACGAGGCCGGCGAGTGCGCTCCCGCCTGGGTGGCCTGGAGCTGCTGGTGGTCGTGCGCGTGGTGGTGCACCGGGTGGTGGCTCTGGAGGCGGGCCCTGTCAGTACCAGATCCAGACCGGTCCTCGCCGCGGCTTCGTTTGCGGTAAGATCGGTCATTCTACTCCTCGCTGTTTTCGTCGTCTGGACGACCTGTTCCGCCAGCGATTTGGCCCGGCGCCCGACCTCCCGGACTGGCACAGCTTGCTTAGGCGTAGCATTAGGATTTTTGACTTGGACATGGATGCCATTGTAGCAGCCTTGCATGTGATGTATGCTGATGACTCTAGTGTGCTTCCCTCTTATTACCCCGTGTTGCCTAGTGTAGCGGTGCCTAGCGTAGACTCCCCTGCTGCGTCAGGCGTAGGATCTCCTGCTTTGCTTAGCCTTGGTGCTTCCACCGCTTCACTGCCGCCTCACGCGACTGCTGCGCTTTCCTTCACCTTGGACTCTGGCGCCTCCCGGTGTTTCTTCCGCGACTCCACGACGCTGACGCCGCTGCCTGTTCCCGCTGCCGTTACTCTTGCTGACCCCTCCAGTGGTCCCGTTGTTGCCCGCAGTTCCACCTCCCTTCCCTGTCCGGCGGTTCCTTCAGGTTCGCTCACCGGTCTGCATATCCCCTCGTTCTCCAGGAACCTAGTTGGTGTCGGCTGCCTCCAGGACCTTGGCGTCACCACTACGTTCCCTGGTCACGAGCGGTATGCTGTCTGTACCGAGGCCGCCACTGGTGCCCCCCTTACCACTTTCCCCCGGGACCCGGTGTCCGGCCTGTTCACACTTGACACCGCGACGTCCCCGGCTGGGTCTTCCCCCCCGGTAGCTGCGTCCACCCAGGTTGCTGCCGCGTGCTCCTGTCGGTCCCTCACTCACCCGACTCTCCTTTGGCACCACCGCCTTGGTCACCCTGCACTCCCACGTCTGCGTCACATGTCCCAGCACGGTCTCGTCCTTGGTCTCCCCGGTTCGTTCCCCGAGTTTCCCTCCTCCCCCGCCCCACCGTGCACGCCTTGTGTCGAGGGCCGGCTCCGCCGTGCCCCTCACTCCTCCTCTTTTCCCCCTACCACCGCACCACTGCAGACTCTGCACATGGACGTCTGGGGCCCAGCCCCGGTCCATGGGCCGCGTCGCGAGCGCTTCTTCCTAGTGCTTGTCGACGACTTCACGCGCTACACCACCGTCTTCCCCCTGGAGCGGAAGGCCGACGTGCCTGACGTTCTCATCCCCTGGCTTGTCTCTGCTCGTGTCCACCGCGGTCTCCCTGCCTTGCGCCTCCACTCCGACCGGGGTGGCGAGTTTGCCTCAGGTGTCCTTGGTCGCTTCTGTCGTGCGGAGGGCATCACCCAGACGTTTACCCTGCCGGACTCCCCGCAGCAGAATGGGGTCGCTGAGCGACGCATCGGTTTGGTCATGGAGGTGGCTCGCACCTCCATGATCCACGCCGGTGCACCCCATTTTCTGTGGCCGTTCGCCGTGCGCTACGCCGCTCACCAGCTTAACCTGTGGCCGCACCCCCAGCGGCCGCAGGTTTCGCCGACCCTTCTGTGGACCGGGTCCCCTGGTGACGCGTCTGCGTTCCACGTCTGGGGCTGCCTTGCCCACGTTCGTGCCTCTGGCACGGACAAGCTCACTGCCCGCACCCTCCCCTGCGTCTTCCTCGGTTTCCCCCTTGACGCGTCTGACTGGCACTTCTACCACCCGCCGTCCCACCGCTTCTTTCACTCTCGCGACGTCACCTTTGACGAGTCCGTCTCCTTCTACCGCCGCTTCCCTCACCGTGGTCCCCCGGTTACTCCCCCCCTGTTCCTGGTCCCTCCTTCCCCGGTGGTCCCTGCCCCTCCCCCCCCCCCCCGCCCCCCCGTCCGGCCCCCTCTGGTGTGTCTCACGTCACCCCCCTCCTGTCGGTCGTCCCGGTCGACGAGTCTTCTGACTCT